GATCAAGCGCGACGAGGACGTCGCGAGTCTAACGGGGGGTGATTGTAATACCCCAGACCAAGAAAGTTTAAGAGATTTGATAGGTACTACTCATATCACAAGGTGCACCTTCTTTTCCGGAAGTCCATCATTAGAAACTCCACAGTTAAGCGTGCTTGGCTTGGAGCAATTCTATGATGGGTGACCCCCTGGGAAGTTTTCTCGGGGAGCGTGCGAGTGAGGACAAAGCATACTAAAAAGACTCATGTTGGTACAGTGAAGACAGTACGTCGTCGATCTAACTGCCGGGACAGCCCGTTATGTGGGACCCGGGTCGTTACAAAATTGTAATACTTAGACCAGGAAAGCTTAAAAAATTTGATAGGTACTACTCATACCAACAAGGTGCACCTTTTTTTCCAGAAGTCCATCGTTAGAAACTCCACAGTTAAGCGTGCATAGCTTGGAGCAATTTTTTGGTGGGTGACCTCCTGGGAAGTTTTCTCGAGGAGTGTGCGAGTGAGGACAAAGCATGCTGAAAAGATTTATGTTGGTACAGTGAGGACAGTACGTCGATTTAACGGCTGGGACAGCCCGTTAAGTGGGACCCAGGTCGTTACAAATGGTATCAGAGCTCGGTTGCCAGCCGAAAATCGGGAACTAAGTGCTATGCGGGAAAAAGTGCTATGTCAAGGGCGGGAACCACCTCTTGAACCCGTAGGAGCCACCTCTAGAATCCCAACGCCTGGCAACGGATATCAAGTGCGACGAGGACGTCGCTAGTCTAACGGGGGGTGATTGTAATACCCAGACCAGGAAAGCTTAAATGATTTAATAGGTACTACTCATACCAACAAGGTGCACCTTCTTTTNAGCCCATTAAGTGGGACCCAGGTCGTTACAATTGGGCCACACACAAGAGATAGAAATTCAAAATTGATAGTTTGATGTGATAGATAATTGTCATATTTTTCATTTTTATGGATGAAAAATGAGAAACAAATGGAGGCTAATAATTTCACTAAAGGGCATATATATAATTTTACTTTTAAAAAGCTTTAGAACTAGTGTAATCTCCTAAGTATAGCTTGAATTGTTTTAAAAATCTCTTGTAAAATCACTTAAAATCGGTCGGCTCATAACACTCAAAACCAGTAGTTTGAAAAATGCCCATAAAATCTCATATCTATGGAATTTACTTCTTTTATTCCGTTCACAACATAGGATGTGGGGGCATGGGATGTAATTCGTATATGTGAAGTTTTGACCGATTCATGTCAACATGCTCTTTATTTCTATGATTTTGTAATATTTCTTTTTTTCTTTTGAATTGATTCATGTCAATCCAAGACCTTGTAATATGGCTTTTCCCTAAGCCCTTGTTTGTCCCCCATTTTTCAAAACTCATTTTTTTCCAAACTCATTTTCAACCACACATTTGGGACCATAACTTTTATTAGCTTTTCAATAACACATTTCATCAATTTTTATCAAAAAATGTGATTTTTAGCAAAACCAAAAACATGGGCTAAAATAGCCCGTAGTTTCTATTGGGTCAGTATGAAAAAGATACAATGAATTCGAATTCAATTTCAAAAAAATTCGAGGACAGTGAGATGTTTTACTTCAACATCTTTATTAATCATTCATGAGAATGTTTACACGACTTCTTTTGAAATAAGGAATGGTTGTAAAAGTCAGAACATCCCTAAAATATCCCATAATTTCTATTGGTTCACTCTTTGAAAAAGCTATAATGAATTGGAATTTCAATTTCAAAGAAATTTGAGGACACTGAGTTGTTTTACTTCAACACCTTTATTGACCATTCATAAGAATGTTACACGATTTCTTCTGAACTGAGAAAAGGTTGTGAAAGTTAAAGCGTCTTTATTTACAAATCATGACTCACAAGCAGACATAATGGAATATAATTGACTTTGGTAAAATGTAAAAAGGGTGTGATCATGTAAAAATCATAGTTTGAACTATGGCCCTGTTTGAGCCACTTTTTTGTAGAATGAGAATGAAAAATATAGTCGTTATTGGGGTTTACACAAGAGATAGAAAATTTGAATTTAAATGTTGATGTGATGGATAACGGTCATATTTTTCATTTTAATGAGATAAAAAGGTGGCCCAAACGGGGCTATTTTTTGGGTGATCTAGAATGGTTTACCGAGAGAGAAATTATAGGATCTTTGCAGAAAAAGAGCTAGAAGTTTCCGAATAACGAGAAATGCATAAGGTTTTATCATTCATTCTTATAGATTTCTACGTATTAGTAGTTCAAGTGCGCCCCTTTCTCTTCTAGACTTTACTTTATCTTGATTGATTATTAAAAGATTCCTTGTCAGCTTGTCCTTCTAACAATTGTAGTTATGCTTCTATAATTAATAAATTCAAGTTTCTTAGTCCATTGGTGGGGGGGGAGGGGGGGGGGTGACAATAGGGATCACATCTAGAATTTGTAGGGATTAACTCGCGACCACTCTCACATCTCTGGCAAGGTATTTGCTGGAAAAAAGAAGTATAAAAGAAAGACATTGTTGGACTAATCTGTATAGTATAAGCATCATTTCTAGCTTCCACATGTAACGTGTTACTCTAAATCTTTTTATTATTTACTCTAGATTTTAATTTTTTATTGCATTTACTATTTGCTTTATCTTTGTATTCTTGTATATGTCTCGGATTAGGTTGTTGGATCAATTGACCAAATGGAAGTTGATGATCCTGATATTCCTGACAAGTATTCAGAATCTACCCCAGATACCAAATCCAAGGGTAAGCAAAAATTTTATGTAGGATCTCAAGACTTGGGATTCCGCCGTGATCACATGGAGGTTAGTTTGTTTTGTAGCACACATTCTTTAAAGATTTGGTCATTGCTTTATGTTCTTGTGTGCTGATCATAGAGCGCACTGTAATATCAGGTGCTGTCACCCATCAAGGATGGAATAGTTGTAGACTGGGATATGGTTGAAAGCATATGGGACCATGCATTGAGGTAATTCTTTTGGTAACCACTCAAATGTTCATGATTTCCAGCATTTCAGCTCTCACGGTAGCTTTGTTCGGGTGTTGAGCCCCTAAAGTTCTCTGTTTACAAGTATAAGGATTTTCAATATTTGACATGTATCTTCATAATTGCAATGTTTTAAATTGTAGGAAATGCCTGCTAATTGATCCAAAAGAGCATCCCATGCTACTTGCTGAGCCATGTTCTAATACCCAACAACAGAGAGAAAAGTAAGCTAAAAGTCGGAAGTACTTTAGTGGTTTACATGACTTGTAATCCTGTGGTCTGCATGGTTACTTGTTTTTTCTTGAAATTTATGTTTCCTGGCTCCCATTTAATACAAAATTTAGATGTAACAAGGACCCAGAGCGTGAGTCTATGCAGTTGTTCTTGGATGATTGTTTGTTTTAAATATTACAATTGTTACTGCATCTTGTTAATTTGTCCACCGGTAACTTTCCAGTTTGCCATCCTTTGGCAGTTATTGTCAATATCTTTAACACAAGTCACTTTAGAAACACTTGCAGTCCGATGTTGAACCAAGATTCATTGGGGATGTCGCAGGAAACAAATATAACATCCATTACACATGGTTATTTAAAACACTCAAGAATTAGGTGAAAAGTCCTCTGAATAGGTGGGTAGGAGAATCTGTTTAGTTGGTAATTTATGAGATGTGACAGTGAAGAGTTTCCAGAATAATATTTGGCTTGGAGATGAGATGCTTAAAACTAGATTCCTTAATCTCTGATATTGGAGTGGGTAAGTTGCGAATGTGAAACAAAAGTAATGTCACTAGTCAAAACTAGAGTAAATGTTTAGTGCAGATGATGTGAGACAAAAAATAAAGGTCTAGGAAGGCTCCTTAATCCGTATTGGCTTGCTAGTCTTCGGATCTTGATTTTCTTTCTGATTCGTTATTCGAATTTTTTATACAAAAGGGTTGCAACTAGTTCATTTTGCTTTTATTATAGCCTCCAAGTAATAGTAGCACAGTTTTGAGCATCAAGTTTATTTTTTCGACCATATTAGGCCCTTGTTTGGGCTCCATTAAAAATAGTTTTTGGGAAAAAAATGTATTTTGGAATAGTGATTTTATGGAAAATGTGTGGTTTAAAAAAATTGGGTTTATATGTAATATTATTTTATTGGAGAATGTGTAGTTGAAACAAAGGAAGAGAAAAATGCATTTTGGAATAAAATGGAGCCCAAACAGGAGCTAGGCTGACATTGTTGTTTTTTATCCCTATAATTAGTTTATTATCATTTTGTACTTCTGTCTACTTCAATTCTTGGTAAATTTTGAGCTGTTTTGGTCTTCCTAAAATCCTAGAAGCACACTTCTCTTTGAACTGTTGCACCTTCTCTTCATTAATCTGTTTCATCTCCAGTGCCAAAGCTGGTATCTGAGAGGAAACTATCTTGTTTCTGCTTGATTCAACTAGCTTCCATGGTTTGCCATAATCTAACAAGCTGCATAGTTGAAACACAGCAAGTAGAAGCTGTAGAAATGGTAGACGTTAGTTGCATGGTTTAGTTGTTGTTGCAAGCTACTCAGGTTCTTCAGTGGCAGAAACTTGTAGCTATCTGTGTGGAAGATTCCGAGGGACAGCAGAGAAGTTTTATTATACTGGATGAACCAGATGTACCACAAGGTAGGCTTAAGGAAATTTGAGTTCATAATGAAGAAACATTCTCATGTTCCGTGTAAGTAATAATGGGAATCCTAATAGATATATTACATGGAATACTTTTCAATTTAGATACTTATTTTAAGAAATGTAATTAGTGTTTTATTTTGTAAGTTCTATAGTATTTTATATTATTTCCTTAATTTTTTCTTACTTAAATTAGGTTACTCGTATCTTATATAAAGAGGGCGTATGCATAGTATATTTGATTATTGAAAAAGCTCATACTTTCTCTCTCTAATTTCTCTATATTCTCTCCCGTGTCCTCTCTCTTTCTCTTCCATTCTTCTAAGTTTCGTTCTTGTTCATTGTGTTTTACATCAATTTGATATCAGAACTTGACACTCACCTCTTACCTAATTATTACTCATGCATGCCGTTCATACAAGTTACTGCAGCAGCCACAATATTTTCCGTTCACATGTTCACCTTCATCCAAACCAACATCCCAACAACATCCACCTCAATTCTGTCCACCACCCTCATCCTTCAAAACCCAAGCCAACCTTTAGCCACCACAAAACCACAAAACCATCAGCCCTTAAACCAAATTCAAACACCCAAAAGAAATAAGAAGGCAATAGCAATTGGATGGAAAAAATCAATTGGCAAAACATTTTGTTCATTGTTGCTGTTCAAATCAAACACTTACCTACACTAATCCCATTTATCTCGCCCAACGTGGCCATAGAGTCCTCTAGCATGTAGTTTTTGAATTAAATATTCTCGTAGCGTGGTACGAAGAATACAAAGTTGATTGCTTTTGAATAGAAATTCATCTTGAACACGAAAATCACCGTTGCGCTTGTATTACTACATTAGTTCCTAACTTCCTTGAAATCATCATCTCCTATAAAAGATTCCTTCAAGCAATCAAAGCCTTATACTGAGCGACTCGTGGCACATAAGCAGGTACATCTACTCAATGCATCAATTGTTATGTTGGCCACACTTATACTTGATAGAAAATGTGAACTTATGTAGAAACCATGCCTGCGTGCGGTTCATTATTTTTTAAGAGTTGATGAACTTTAAAGTTTGATGATCATTGAATAAAACAAACTCTCTTTGAATCACAATCTTTTAGAGCTCGAACAAGTGCATAAAATTCAAGCTCGTAAGTAGTCCACTTTTGTTGAGTTTCACCTACCTTCTCACTGGAAATTGTATCTATCGCTTCTGTTGGGATAATACGGCCCGATGTCTTGAACAAGAGTATCTCATTCTACCTCAAAACCTTCTCAAAATCATTTTTTTTTTTTTGATAAGTAATCATGAAATTTTATAAATCAAAATCAAAAGATAATACACGAGGAGTGCATTCTCAGTTTAAACAAGATAGAAACGCTAAAAAATTAGGCAACTTTTCTATCGGACTATTGGTTGCGGCGTTAAACCAACTATACAAAGTCAAATAAAACAATTCTTTAAACTGCTCTGTCGTCCTTGTTTGATCTTCAAAGCACCGGCCGTTTCTTTCTCTCCAAACACACCAAACAATGCAACCCGGAATGAGGTCCCAAACAAGCTTGCAATTTTTATCTCGCAGCTTTCTCTTCCATGCCCGCACCACCTCCGATGTACGCTTTGGCAATACCCAACTCATATGTTGCAAAAACAGGATATCATTCCACAGCCAACAAACACCGTCACAATGAATGAACAGGTGGTCGATTGTCTCCCCATCCCTCTTACACATATAACTCCATTCCGTAATATAACAACCTTTTCTTCTAAGATTATCCGCCGTCAACACCTGCCCCCTCACAACCATCCAAAGTAAGAATGCCACCCTTGGAGGTAATTTACACTGCCATACCCTTTCCCAGGGGAATGAACACTCCACAGGTTCCAATAAAGATCTGAAATAAGTGCGAACAGAGAACATACCATTCCGTGCCACCGTCCACCTACTACAGTCTTCCACTCCTACCTGAATGTGAGCTTCATACAAGGAGGCCAAGAAAATCGCATAATCATCCAATTCCCAGTCATGCAAACCCCTTCCGAAAGCGATGTTCCAGCTAGCACTCCCGTTATAAATAGCCATAGCATTACTCACCATAGCTGAAGGCTTCAAAGCAATGCGATGCAAAGAAGGAAACCGAGCTTTAAGCAGTTGATCTCCGCACCAACAATCACCCCAAAAATTGACATTCGTACCATTCCCCACCACGAACACCAGTCTATTCTGAAATTCACTCCATCCTTTTCTTATATACCTCCACAGGCTCACCCCATAAGAACCACGACCTTCGCCCGAGCACCACCCCCCCTCCATAACACCATACTTCACCCCTATTATTTCTCTCTAGAAGCTCTCCCTTTCCACTCCAAATCTCCACAACCATTTGCCCAACAAAGCCTTGTTGAATAATACAAGGCTCCTCAATCCAGGACTCCCCACCCCAACAGGGGAACAAACGTCTCCCCATTTGACCAAATGGAATTTCCTCTTTTCTCCCAACCCTGCCCAAAGAAAATCCCTCTGAATCCTCTCTAACCGATTTGCCACTGCAACGGGAATAGGAAACAATGATAGAAAATAGGTTGGGAGATTAGAGAGAGTGGACTTGATGAGAGTAAGACGATCCCCTTTTGAAAGATAGATGCGCTTCCACCCCGCTAACTTCCTCTCCACCCTTTCAAGAATATCATTCCAAATTTGCTAAAAATCATTGTTGAGCCCATAGAATATTCTGATTGTGAGGATGAGAGTTATGAACATTGTATTTTGTCCCCTTTTGCGATATACCTTTCATAATTACAAATACCAATTACACAGTTTTTTGGAGGAGTTACACATGTTTCTATTTGGAGTTCTTTGTTGCACCCTTGGTCACGTAAGTATCGTCATTTAGTTAGAAAAAAGATTGGCCTCTGTGGATAAGAAGTTACCCTCGTTGGAATCAAGTTTTCTCAATCGAGGAGATATAATGATCCTAATAGATATATTATATGGAATACTTTTCAATTTAGATACTTATTTTAGGACTAGTCTATTGCCCGTGCAATGCACATGTTATGTTATTTTGAAGGTAATGTTAGCGTTAAGTTTGTATCTATACTTTGTTGTTTAGCAATAGAGACGTTTATAGAATGGTCTTAGTTTTTAATAACAACAAAACAAATTAACAATATTACATAATTGAACTGAAAAAGTGTTAGATATTTTTTCATAATTTATTTATTTGTTTATTGTTATGTAAATGGTTAGCTGCTTCGAAAATGGAATTTTGATTTCTGTGTGTGCTGAAGAGTTGCGATTTACATGCGTTGGTGTTTATTTTCTCATATTCCCTATAATTTATAATTTTCTTAGATTCCTACAAAAAATGATATTACATGAATGAAAAAACACATTGTAGTAGAGAAAATATGAATAATTTAAAGAAGTTTTCAACCATGCTGATGAATGAATGAAGTCTTTATCTGCTGTTCTCTGTGTGTGTAAAATATAATAGACAAATGATGCTACGTGGAGAGAAGCATTCGAAATATAATAGACAAATGATGCTACGAAGAGAGAAGCATTTGCGCCGTGCTGCGCGAAGAGAAGCATTCGTGCGGTATTGCGTGAAGCGGGATTTGAGCTCCGCGCTGTATTTGCTGGATCTGATCTCCGCGCAGCGCGGAGACACTGTTCGGAGAGATCTCTACGCACGAGGAGACATGCTCCACGCAGTGCGGACCCCGTGCATGGAGACGTCTTCCCCGTGCACCGCGGAGAAAAGAGGAAGAAGCGCGATGCGCAGTTGAAATTGCCGTGCTACAGTAACATCCTTAGTCTTTTTGCAAAGTCAAGAGATTCAGACTCTATAGTGGTAATTTAAATGTTCATTTAATATCTATGCTTATGAATATTAAGTAACATGCTTCGATACCTAAATTTTATTTTCATTATACGTGAATTAATTCGAAAAATTAAACATGGAAGTAGTGTTCATAAATTTCTTTTCATTACTAATAAATCAGCTCTTATGTGCTTTGTTTTCGAATGGAGAACATGTGGAAGTGAAAAGTAAGAACTTTCTCTTATTATGACGTCATATTCTGATTGAAATCATAATTTCTTGCACATAAATTTATTTTTCCAAGGAATGTGCTCAAACAAACCTTTAATATCACACCGACCAACTATTTTAATATCTTATGCTACAGGACCGATGTCACAAGTGAAACTAAACTGCAAACTTAGATCGGATTATAGAAACTAAGAAATTAATGGAATTCTCAAACCTGACCATCGACGACGGTTATAGATGGCAGCGCATTCCAAAGAGTAGGCAACTCATTGTCTTCTCCATTATCTCCGAGTACAGTGCAAGTTCTTTGTAGTCTGTTTACCAAAGATATCAAACTTTCCATTACTGTTCCTCACGATCTTCCTATGCTTGCGGTGGGGATTTTGAAAACCGCAAAATATACGATTTAGTATTGAATTTTAACCTCCGTTAACCTGCTAGCGAAGATGAAATTGATGTTGTCGGTCTGAAGCAAAGAGCTTGTGAAAAAAGTTGTCCGTTTTCTCCTGTTTTCTCTTCTAAGAGGCAAGCAGAGATTCAAAGTCAACAATTGTGGGTATAGGTAGGAGGAAGTCCATATTACCCTTGAAGCTTGGATGAATAGTGGAGAATGAATATGGATAAAATGGGATAAAAAAAGTTTCACAAATGAACAGTAAACGGTGGGTTACCTCTTTCAAGATAGTAGAGATATGTAATTAGGGTTTTATAATATTTTATATTAATTTCTTAGTTGTTTTCTAATTTAAATTAGGTTACTTGAAACCGTGTATAAAGAGGCTAATTTCTATATTTTATCTCCCCTTTCTTCTCTCTTTCTCCCTCTCTATCTTCCTGTCTTCTAAGTTTTATTCTTGTTCATTGCATTCTATGTCAAGTAAACTGGTCTACGATGAAACCTTGAATTGAGTTTATCTCTTATTGTTTTGGAGTCCTAGACCAGCATTGAGGAATATTTTGATGAAACTTCGTAACTGAGTGATTTCACTAGCATCTCCTTTTGAGATCTATGGAATGTAACATGTTCAATAAAAGTTTTGAGATTAAATGTTCGCAAAACAACTGCAAGATAATTCACGTCATTGATTGGGATAAACCTCCAATTTGTCACGGGAAAGTGTGACGACTGTTATGATATAATTGTTTGGTTACACATTTGAGAAGTTACTAAAGGCAAAAGTGATGAGAAAAAACAGTTGGAACCACCTGGAGAAACCTTAGATACTGTAATATGCATACTTTTGAAGGTAAAGAACTGCACTAAAACTTCTCATTTGTAGTTTTATTTTCGCCCAGTGAAAAACATGGAATCCTTACTGTTAATGGTGAACATTAACTTACATTAGCTCCAGTGAGAGGATTGCCATCCAAATGTTGACAGAAGTTCAAAAGAGCTTTCTTCCAGTCATTGTAAATGATTTATGTTGCTACTTGCTTATATTGATGGTATTAGTATCATTATAAGTGGCTATGGTCTGGAACTACATTATCTTTGCATATAACAGTGTAATGCTATTTGATATTTTGGGAGGACAGTTTGGATGGTCTAGCAATTTGACAATATGGACATCAAGAAGGATGATAGATGAATTACTCTTTGGTAAGATGATATTGTTACTTAGGGTTTTGGAGTTGCTTCTCTGGAGGAATGCGCCAAGATACGTGGTCTAACAAATGAAAAATGGAGGAGCTACTTGCCATGCCAATTTAGAATACTATGCTGGTTGAAGGACCGAGGAAGATGAAACAGAAAGAAGGATTGGAAGAATTGTTTGGGCATCCTATCAATCATGAATAGTTGATACTTGATAACAAGTAATAACTCAGGCAGGAAAGTTACGGGGCCTCATAAGGTTCTTCACATGCCTACTGCCACAATCCGGCTCTTGTTTTTGTTTATGACCTGAATTCTCTAAAAAAGCGATCTTCACTAGCGAGTACAAGTAAAGTAATAGTCTTTTGTGAACATCATCAAGGGACATTTTGTCCATTGTCATATCAGGACATCATTGACCTTTATACTAGAAAGCTCGTGTAGTTTTTGTAATATCAGCTTATTTGAGTTTTTTCAGCAATTAGAATTTGAGCGCTCGTGTTCTCATAAAATCCTGGAGGCTTGTTCCCACTGAAAACTATTGCACTTTTCTCTTTATTTATCTTTTGTACAGCTGTTTAATTACTTCCCTTTGCTTGTGGCTTTATCGCATTTGCAATTGAACTTGCTTCTTTCTGTTTCGAGCAATCTGCATTGAATAATAGTTGCAGGTGATTGGGGTGACAGTGAGATTAAGTGATTCTTTCTCATGGCAGTAATTTTTGCACAAAACTATATAGAATACCAATTGCCTGATTCTAGTGAGGGATACTTAGAATTTAGAGCCCATTTAGTGGTATGATTTGCCTGGGAAGCTACTCATGATGCATTTCCTATGAGCCCTTCATATGTTCAGGATGGGACTATACTGATGATCTGTTGCTATAGTGTCTGTGGAAACTTTATTTTGTTGAAATCTCATGGTCTATTGCAAGTCAAAATTTTAAGGAATTCCTACTGATATGGTCACAATTATGATGGAGAAGCTTAGAGGGGTTTAAAGGGTTAAATGCATATTGGAGGTGTTGCTTTTGAATACATCTAAATTTGGCTTACTCAAGGACAATCATACATGCATTATTTTTTTTTTAATGAATTGTTTAATATTGTGATCATACTGAGTGGCTTTCACAATTAGGTGTAAATTTCTGATGCCATTATACCAATAGTTATCAAGGGAAAGACACCAAATATTCCCCTCTTGCTTTGATAGTTGGGACTTCTCATGGATGGAAAACCATTTATAGATTCTATGCTGTTTGAAGGGACATGAGATAAGAATAAAGAAGAGGAAGGATTCTTTGGTCAACTGTGAATCACTTAAGGTGTACTTAGTCATCTTGATTTTAGTTTGAATTTTTATGAGTTGATGGTTGGATAAATTTGAAAATGTGCATCAATTAAAGTGGATATTTCCTCCCCTCTTCCTCTCACTTTCTGTGTCCTAAAATGCCTTAAGCTCTTAACAGACCATTCCCACAAACTATTGCACTTATTACAAAAATGTGAGATCAAATTTTGAATTCAAAAAACAAAATAAAATAAAATTATACAAATTTTCTGTTGGTATTATTACTGCAATGTCATCATAGCCTTCATTCCTCGTTGATTATACTTTATTTTTTTCTGCAGCTGACATTTTATTGGTTACTTTTTATGCTAATTACGGAATGTTGACTTATGACATGTTTGACAGAGCTGCAGAGATTATGTTTGAAAAATACCAAGTTCCTGCATTATTTTTGGCCAAAAATGCTGTGAGCTCCTGTGTCCATCCTTCTATTCTGATTTAAAGGAAAATTATTTTGAGCACATTTATCTAACAATT